ATCACGCCATAGAAATGTAACTTACCATCTCATTTGCCATGCTGGGTTCAAAGTCAAGACAAATGTAAGCGCCGAGTTCTTTGAGTCTGGCGTGTGTGAGCATACATTTTGGAGCCGACGGACTTTAATTGGCTCTGATCCAATGTTATGCATTAAATGCAAGTTGCAAACAACGTTCGGGTTTTGTGCCACATAATGCAGGAAGCTCGACACTGGCACTATTGATTTCGGAAAAAAAGACTTGCAATCCGATGACACAGAATAGCGCCACACTTAGTAGCTACAATCTCAAAATCAGCTCCCATCGGCTAAAAAAGTGAATCAAGATCAACGCGCATCAAAGGGGAAAACGTAACGCTGCGCTAATTTTATTTTAGTATTTATCGTAAATAACGCCATAGCTTATTATGTGAATTTGAGTAAACAACATAAGATCAAGGATTATATGCTCTGACACTACGAGAAAGGGTCAAAACACAAGCACAAAACGATATTGGGGTTCTGGAAACGCCGCGTCTATAATCGCGACAGTAAATCTTCCGACAGGCGGCTGCGGGGGTGCTGGATGTGTGCTGAACCAAATGTCGTTAGGTAATCGTGTTTTTGCCCTTTCTCGTGGTGCTCTTGCATATTTATACGTGAATTTAGGGTGTTTACTTGTATTCACATACTCGTCATAGCGCTATTCTCGTTATTCGATTACAAGTCTCATCTCTGTAATAACTAGGACGAAAGGATAACTCGTATCATGTCTTACAAAAAGCACTTCATGTTAGAAGTCTTGCATAGCTTGCAGCGCACTGCTTGCGCCAATCGATGGCCATTAGATCTGAAAATCGTATCTACAAACGCCAGATATGGAAGACTCGGTGATAATATTTTTGTTGACCTTAATCGTAGCATGGCTAATGGGATGACAGGATTTTAATAACGCTATTTGCGGTGGTGGATACCTGGGCGACATTGAAATTGTCTCCTCGAAATAGCCTGAGCATTTCGCGGGCTTGTACCTCAGAAACTAGACGGGTTTTGCTCATAAGAAGGGCGTGGGCGTGAACTGTGCCGAGTAATCCTCAAGCTAGGTAGTCCAGTTCAAAACCCTATACAAATTTGGAACGCTACCTTTTAGCATCCCGGCCCGTATGGTCGTGATCTTAAACGTCAGTCAGAATGCCTTTTTCACCTATTATGGACTCTTGGGACCACACGGCCAGAGACCACCACGCCGAACAGTTGACTTCGTGTCGCTCTGAGCCCCGGGAGTCCATTTTCCCAACAGGAGCGAGACCGGGGCCCAGCAATTTGCATTGTCGGAAAGTGCTCTGAGTCAGCCATGGGTGACTCGGGGTCCCTGTGAGCCCTCCATCCCGTTTTAGTTAAGTGTCAAACAGGGGTTTCTGTGCCAGTTACTGGACCACCTGCGGTTATCATGGGCCTTGTTGCAACCAGGCTCGCAGCCAGAATCTTGGCAAGGAGGCGGGAGGGGCACAGGGTTGACAAAGTGACCCCTGATAGTAAAAGTGTCCCTGCGGGCACTCGGAGTCCCCATCTCCCCCGAAATCACCGGATATGGTCTGTTTGTAAATTAGGCTAGGGTTTCCTTTGGTATTTCCATTAACCGTAATCAAAGTCAGAAGTTAACGCGATATCTATTCTGGCGGGATTTTACAGTCAATCAACGGCAAAAAAACTATTGCGTTGAACAACCGCATAGAATGGATCACCAGCGCTCTTCAATTTACAATGTTCCAGCCGGCTCTTTCTGAAGAGATAGAATTCAGAAGCTTAGTCAGAATCTTTATTTGGATTGCACCGGGATATAAATGGCCGCGCGATTTTTTTGTGTTGCTGTAACTGTGCAGCTGTCCCGGTACGCACTAATTTTGAAAGACACTCGAAGGCATTCTTTTACAGCGGGCGTGCTTGCACGCACAGCAATCAGCCCCCAGCATTACTTGAAGTGGCCAACGCCGTTCGATATTACGGAAACTGCTACACAAGCCATCGCTGTCCCTGCTCCCAAGATTGCGGGCGCGTAGGCTCAAACACTTGTCATTTGTTTCACCAATCTTTTCTGCAAAAGGATAAACATTTTCAGACAAGGATAGGATGGCCTCGTTCTTTTATAACTAATTTTGACCCACTCTTTTCAACACTTATGGAAATCCTTCTTTCTTTCCAGGAAAGGTCTCCATTGAGTAGAACACTCAGAGCACATTACTGCCCCCGGTCAAGAGCTGAATGGCCATTCCGTCCCATCGCGGGGAGTCTTCCGGCTGTCACTCTGGCCACACGAAACGCGATCCCTGGCCAATCCAGAGGCCCTTAGGTGGATGCATCACACCACATTGTTCCCCCCACTGGCGCGGGAGGCCATTCGACCCGCGCACTTGACTCCGGATCGGTGCAGGAACCGTCATTAACGCCACGACATTCCTGACCGCCGCACGTACTCCAATAGACTCCGCACATAGACTCCGGTTCGGCCCAACGGGCTGACGTTAGGATTGGGTCGGAGGGCCCAACGTTTCGTACGGGGGTCCCTGGCTGGCACAAGACCCTTCCATTGCCTTAATGTCAGCACCCATCATAAGTTTTCGTGTTTCCTTTCATTGTCGGAGGGCCCTGACCAACGCAAAAGGCCCTCTATCATTTGGGATTCCTTCCCTGTACCTGTTGAGCGAATCTTCCCCTGACCGACTCGAGGAACCTTGTTGACACAGAATACCCTGTTAGGCACTGTGGGCCCCTTAACGATACAGGAGCACCACATTGTTACAGGGGCCCGACTAATGTAAATCGCGGGCCCAGCTGTGCCCCTCTTGGCAAATAGGCCTCCAGAGCTCAGACAGGCACAGAGCCGACTGTTCGGTGTTGGTGATCTCTGGCCGAAACAGAGGAACGTTTGATCTCAGAGATCTCCAATTGGTGCAAGAGGTCCGCTTATTGACATTTGAGACCACAGCCCTACGGACGGGGTGCTCAATATGCCGTGCAGCCATCCTTTTCGGTCCCTTCAGCCTTTCAAACAGGCCATTGATCTTTGGTCCCGAGCGGTCCCTTGTTCCCTCTTCGGCCTCCTCAAAAGCCTGTGGTCGACTCGGGACCACTAGCTGACGCATGATCTCCTGGTAGGCACTGTGTGCCCCTGACCAACATAAGGGCCCCACCCATCGCTGCAGGGACCCTGACCAATCAGTCGTGGCCGCCGGCCCTGCTCCTGCTTGGGAAATGGGTCCCCAGGGTTCAGACTGACAGAGATCCAACTGTTCAGTGCTCGTGGCCCTTGGCCAATCGAGACACTCACATTCTCTCAGGGATCTTCAAACGGTGCAAAAGGACCTCTGACTGATATTTTAGTTCACGACCTCTACGGGCCGCGATTATTTATGTGACCTACAGCCAGTTCTTCGGATCCTTATGCCTTTCAACCAGGCCCTTGATCGTCGGCTCCGCTGGGCCGTCCCGGAACCTCTTCGGGCCTCATCGAACAATGGCCCTGGTCGGCTCGGGCCCCTTGTGAGCCTTTGCAGATACAGGGCCCCAACCAGTATAAATCGCTGTCCCCGGCTTCATAGCTGATTGGGAAGTGGGCCCTTAGGCACGTATCGACACGGAGCTGATTGTGCGGTACTGGCGGTGCCTGACCAATATATAGGGCCATATCGAGTCAGGGGTCCTCGATCGGCAATAAGGGCCTTTCTAACTGCCATTTTAGGGCCTGTTCCTGCAGGCTGGAGGTCCTGAATAAGGCCCGAACAGCACTTCACGCCTTCTAACCCTCCAATCGGACCCCTGCTAGTCGGTCCCGGTAAGTCCTCCAGGCTCTTCGAGCCCTCTCGAGCACTGCCTCTGACCCAATCGGGGCCTCTTGCCGACATAGGGCCTCCTATTAGGCGCTGTGTGGCCCCTGGCAGACACTAGGGCCCCAACAATGTAAATCGCTAGTTCCTGCCTTGTCCCTGCTTGGGAAATGGGCCCTCAGGCCAATGCAGACATGGAGCCGACTGTGCGTAATCAGTGATGTCTGACCGACGTATAGGCCTTTGTCGACTCGGGGCCCTGATTAGCGCATAGGGTCCTCTGGATGGCATTCATGTGCCCGGCCTCGCGGGCCTAACCCCTGAATGCGACCTCCGGTCGGCCTTTCGGCCCCTCGGGCCCTCAAATCAGGCTCTAAGTCTAAGTCTAAGCAATCATTCCCTAATCCGGAAGGGTCCCTTTTTGGTCCCGGAATGGAATGTTCCCCATAACTCAGAGCCTGAGGGGAACACATGCCCTCTTTGCCTCCCCCCCCCCCCCCCCCCGCCTGCCACGTCTGCGCTACTGTCGACAGATCACATCATACCGAGCGTGTTGTCCGCAATAGGCCTCTGCAGGCCAGACAGGAGCCTCCAGAGTCAATAATGGGCCTTCTTTAGGTCGGGTGGATCTGCTGTAGGTCGGAATGGGTCTTTCGTAGATCAAAATATACTTTCTACAGGCTCAGAAGTGCGCTGTTGTGGTCAAAATGGGTCTGCAATAGGCCAGAACGAGCCCTCGAAAGGTCAGAATGAACTATTGCAGGCTTACACAATCCCCTCACAGTTCAAAATCAACCCTTACCATATGAAAATGAACCCTCAATAGACCCAGTAAGTTGGGGGATGAGGTAGGCATCGCTCCATAGCTTCCGGATTAGGGAGAGAGCCTTCCCACCGTCCCTATTACCCCCTCCCCCTCCTCCCTCCAGGTTCTGCGTCCATGCCGAAGCGCGCAAAGTGGAGGGTATTTCGCTTAGCGTAACCAACGCATAACCGGGGGAGGGAGTGAAAGTAGCAAAAAAAGTGTTATGTTCTTCCATGGATGGGCTTTTAGGGATGTGAGGTGTCTTACGCTGTCATTGAGGGCTGATGTCAGCTGAACACCGTCCGATGGCTTGGTGCAATAATCCAACCTTGGTTACGGATATGCTTGAAAACCTGCAACTTGTGGACCTCCGTGGCGTTTTTGGCGCATGAAAGCGTGGAGGCTGAGATCCTTGAGCTTGAAGCAGCGGCGTTTGGACCGGCGTGGTTTCCAGCTGGTGCGATTAAAAGTGAGTTTTAATGTATCAAATTGATCATGAAATCTCATAGCTATATACACGATAGATTAGCCCGTGATTGTCTAGTGCCTGAATCAGCACTTCCTCGAGACAGTTGTGCTTATGTCGACAATATTGAATCCGCCCGATGATTAAGCGTATACCAATGTGTTCCATGGGGCGCTTGTGATTTACATTATTTCTCCCAATCGGGTTCTATTTTGTTTTATTATGGGATGAGATATGCTGCTCTGAAATAATGGAATAAGTATTTTTGATCTTGGGGGGTCAGTCTTCAAACCATGATAAATTCTGACTATATTGCATTGGGCAGGGGTGGAGTGCAACTTCTAATATTGGGCATTTGATCAACATTTTTTTGTATAACTGTATTGGATGCTAGTTGAAATTATCATATGTTTTAGGATATGTAAAACTATCTAGAGTACAGAAAGTGACCAATTTGGATGATAAATAATTTATGGCTTGGGATAAGTGATGTTTCAAATATTCCAGAAGTGGGCAGCTGCTATTTTATGGGCAGAATGGTTCTGTCCGGCCCAAAACATCTGGTTGTAGTGCTTGCTTTAGTTTTTAAATTAGTTCAGAGGTTATTTTTTATCTTTGGCCACCTAGGCTCAGACCTACTTTTGGTTCTGGCTATGTAGAATGTAGGACAATCTTACTATACAAGTCATTTATTGAATAATTTGTTAATATGCACTATTCTACATGCAGGGCAGGAACTTTTTCCTTTGTTTGACTGAAAATAGAAGCAAGATGCTTAAGCATATAACACTATTTTGTTACCTCTATTTTTGTGATTTGTCATTTCCATGCCAGATTAGCATGTTTAGAAGAAAGATGGTAGCTGCACATAGAACCTCCCTGCTGTACACTGCCAGTAGATGGGATTTGCCTGTAATGTGTATGGGTGGGCAGGTCAGAACTGAGAAGAGTGCTTTCACAAGAAACATATGGTAGTGATGACAAGCTTCTATCATGGCCTCCCTACACATTTTTTTCAGTCATGTCAAGTGTCATATAGTGCTTTGAAAGGTTCTTAACAGGTTTATTTCCATTCATGTTGGTCACTGAGTATTGTTTTTTTGTGCGTAATTATGTAGAATAAAATTTTGGGGGCTTAAGTTATCAAAGTCCAAGTTTCATCCACAGATGCTCTTGCTCCATCTTGATATGCTAAATGTAAAGCATACTTGCACAGAGCTCAAACTGTGCCAAATTGGGCTGAATTTTCTTGCTATTAAAGGGAATGCTCCACATTTGAAGATGTTGAAGCAAATGTCAGATGTGATGAGACAAGCTCACTTGCAACAAGTGGTATGTTTTTAAGTGGAAAAGACCACTCTAGATGGCACAATTTTCTGTTTAGCAAATATGATTCATTGTATCATGGTTTGATTATGTCTTCATACTTTAGGACAACATTGGTTGAGAGCCAATTGATGGTAGTCTGGAATGCATCACATATGAATACCTTGACAATGATACTTTGTTTGGTCTTGATAGCTGCATGGCTTAAGGAATGGCAGGATTTGGATGATGTTCTTATGATGTCATGAATACCAAGGCAACTTTGAAATACCCTATCTATATACCTTCTCCCACTTTGCATGTGTGAAGCTCATAAGCAAGGGGTAGGTGTTAAGAAGGGGCAAATTGTGAACAACATGGAAAGGTCTTCAAGATCACTATTTCAGTTAAAAAGCCTATACAAATGTGAGAGCCCCCTTTAAGTAACAGCATTAGTCTTTTAAACATTGGCTATCTGTTAGTTGAACTTGATCATAACTGTATAAAAATTAGGGCTCTTGGAGTTACAACATGCATCTGCTGGCATCATTGTGAGGATGTTGCTGCTAAGCCTGACCATTTAGTGTTGTAGGGTAGTTTTTATCAGCTGATACTTTTGAGTAAAATATTTACCTGAATGGATTTGCACTTCCTGTATTGGCAATTTGAAATGACCTGATGTAAGTTTACTTAGAACTAAGGAGACTATCAGCATCATTATTAGCATGCTGCAGCAACCAGACCAAACAACATCTTTCTGTACATAATTGGGAGTGTGTAACACAAACTACAAGACAGGCAATGTGCACTTATTTCTGTCAGTTGACCAGTGCACACAATATGTTGTGTGGAATGGTGAGATGTAGTATTTTCATCCTGAAGATGAGGAAACTAAATAAGTTTTATCTCTGCATCAATAAAGTAGTAGTGTCATGAGAGTGTGGTTTAGGCTCTTAATTGGGTGTTGTAGGAGAGAAGCACTTTGTCAGGGGCAAGATTTAGCCAGATCACTTTTTCCCAGAAGTCCTTTCAAAATGAACATAGTTTAAGAAGTTATGGGTTGTGGGTCCTAACATAAAGGACATGGTGCAATTGGATTGCCACTTGTTGCCTCTTGCATCTGAGACTAGTAGTGCTGCTGATGGGAGTATTGGTCTTGCAGGGGAGAGGGCAAGGGGAGCATTTCATTATGGGATCATGAGGAATGTTTCTCCTTATCATGTTTTTTCTGTCTTACTCTTTCACACTCTCTCAGTCTGAGTCTTACCATCTCATCATCTCACTCTCTCAATATCTCTGTCTCACCCTCACACACTGTCTCTCTGTCTCACCCTTACACACTGTCTCTCTGTCTTACTCTTGTTGGCTTTGGGTGTTTAACATGTTGTGCATCAACTCCAGGTAGACAGCTAGATCAGCAAGTAATTTCTAGACTGTACTGTGTTTTTTCTTGAGATGATTCGTCAATTCAAACATTCGTGGTCACTGAGCATTGAAGTTGAATTTGTAGCATTGTGGCCAGCAAATTCTACAAACTAAGCCAATAACCTTCCTACTGTTTACATCCCTTTACCCATCCTCAGTACCTACCATTCTTCATTATCTTATCTCCTAGATAAACCCACTGCCCCTGTATGCATGTTTCAGCACGATACAACCACATGAAGCCATCTGTGTATGTGGAGGCTTGACTGAATACAAAGCACCATGGTTCAAGTCAAGTCCAGTGTTTGTTAATTATAGCATCCAACTTCCAATTTGGTATATTGCTTTACAATGTCTTCGTGTTTAAGCATCAGTGGCCTTGGCAGCCTTGTAATGCAATGTGTGTGGTACTGGCAGGTTAACGCCATGAGTCGCTTCTTCGAGGCGGGTTCCGACTCGGATTCGGAATCAACCCAGAGTGACGAGCCGGAGAGGTTCCAGCAGCCGAAACTCACCGCTGCCGCTTTCGCTGTATGTGAAAAATGTTCTTTTTCAGTCCCATCATAGTGTCCTGATTAGTATGAAATTGCTTTTACCCAACACTTGTGAAAAGTCACTTGGGCTGGCAGTTTGTTCCACTTCCAGCAAGTCTGAATATAACGTGATACCTGCCAGCTGATCTTGCAAAACAGTTGCAATATTTCCATCCAATTTTGTCATGTTTAACACCTGGTAAACTGCTATGTAACTCAAACGATTCTTGCTATGTCGTTGATTGCATTGAAACCATCGGTGCTGTGCATTACATGAATTTCAATGAAGTTCAGCTGACAGGCACGCATTTCTTTGGCAATAATGCATATTGTGTTGCCTGTTTATCATGTCATCTATCAGTCACTCTTTTTTCTTTGCACGTATGGACGTACATCGCCCCCAACGGTTCACTATCGGGCTCTCAGGCCAGTGTCATGTTATCAAGCTGTGAATGTTGGCTCTTTCAGTTCTCCGATGATGAAGAGGAGACGAAGCGTGTGGTTAGGTCCGCTAAGGAGAAACGGTATGAAGAACTTAAAACCTACGTTCGCAACATTAAAAACTTCCGCAAGAACCGGGACATCGGATCCTTGTTGACAAGTGAGATGGTGTTCATGCAATATATTGTTCTCCCCCTGTTTTCAACAGAATGCCTTTCCCTATGCTGTCAATTGTGCCATTGTCATCCGCATTTGCTTCATTGGTCAGCAAGCCAGTCGCGATATTGGTGAATAGTTTTGCAACGTGAAGGTTTCTCGCTAGCTGGGAGTGATTCATTATCTCTCATGCCTCGCATATCTCGCGAACAATTACCTCTGCCCTGCTGCACTCAGTGACATGCCCATCCCACTTCCTGCTCTGTTTTTTTTTTCGCTTCATCCCTATGGCATGCTGGTAACGTTCACCGCGTGCGCTGCGGCCCAGATTTCGACGACCTATGGAAGGCATTCAACAAGGCCCAGACCGTAATCCAGAAGGAGGAGGGTGGCCAGGTGCCGCGCTTCTACGTCCGCTGCATGGCTGAGGGCGAGGACTTCATCAACTCGGTCTGGGAGGACCGCAGTGTCAGGTGACTGGTGCTCGCGGCAGTCAAATGTGTCTGGATGCCAAAATGGCAATATTACTACGATCTTTTGTAAATGCTCCGAAAATTCGTCTCGTGATCGTTCCGGGTTGTTTTGCTTTGTTGTTTGTTTTGTTTTTTGCTGATATGCCAATGGCTTTAGTTTATTTTTTGATGTGGCAATGTCATTCGGCAGAAAAAGCAGCGGTCGTTATTTGTCGATATGCTTCTGGACGCCGCCGTACACGGTGCTTCTCGTGACAACCAAAGGCGAGGTCGCAACATTTTCTTATTCTGTCTTCTTTGAAACCGTAGGAAAAATTTGTCCAAGATCCAGTCGAAGAGCCTGGCCACGCTACGACAGAAGTTGCGCAAATACAACCGCGAGGAGAAGATGGCCGAGGAGATTCGGAAGTTCCGAGAGAACCCCGACCTGCCCGATGACGAGGAGGAGGAGAAGCGCGCCAAAGGGTACGTCCGTGCGGTTACGAGGAGCCAGTGGGCGTATGGCGATTCTCCGGCAGCACCTGGGGCACGGCACCAGGCCAGGCTCCATAGCCCCTCATTGTGACGTAAGGACTCGTCTTTAGTCGAGCTGGAGGGTACCATAGCCTAGGATGCCATACCGTAGCCTTTAGCCTTGCTGGGGATACTGAGCCTGCGGTTGTGTGCTTACTTTTGAGTGCAACTGAGCAGTGATGATCAGAGGTCACTATTACAGCAAGGAAGCACTGTAGGCGGCAATGGTTTTCGTATGATTCGGCGCGCGCCCCATATCGTCATTTGTCATAAGCGGCGAACAAAGCATGCGGTGAAAAGCAGTCCGTACATTGTATCTCCTATTGTAGACTGCTTACGCTGGTTTATAAAAGCAAATGATTTTCAGCAAGAGCCAGGGTTTTAAGGGAGGATTTCAAAGCAAAGGACTGTCATAGCGTAGTCTGCTGTGTCTGACTGCCACCCAGCTGTGTCTGTGACTGCCGTTCTGCTGTGTCTGTGACTGCCATCTGGCTGTGTCTGTGACTGCCATCTGGCTGTGTCTGTGACTGCCATCTGGCTTTGTCTGTGACTGCCATCTGGCTGTGTCTGTGGCTGCTGTCTGACTGTGTCTGTGATTGCCTGTGCTGTGTTCATGACTGCCGTCCGGCTGCGTCTGTGACCGTTGTCGGGCTGTGTCTGTGCCTGCTGTCCAGCTGTGTCTGTGCCTGCTGTCCAGCTGTGTCTGTGACTGCCATCAGGCTAGGTCTGTAACTGCCATCTGGCTGTGTCTGTGACTGCCATCTGGCTAGGTATGTGACTGCTGTCTGGCTGCGTCTGTGACTGTCGTCTGGCTGTGTCTGCGACCGCTGTTCGGCTGTGTGACCACTGTCTGGCTGTGTCTGACCGCTGTCCGGCCGGTCGCCGACAGACTCGGACGAGTCGGACTCGGCCGACGACGGCGCCAGCGACGCCGAGGTTGCGCCCTCTAGCGGTGGCGCCAGCAAGGAGCCGTCGCGCTCGCGCGAGATTAGCAAGTCGAAGGGCGCCGACTCCGAGTCATCCGACAGCGACGAGTTTGACTGGGGATCCGACTCGTCTGAGTCGGATATGAGCGACGATGACCAGGACCAGTACCCCAGCATGAGGGACTACTTCCTTAAGAAGTGAGTCGTGTGAAGGCGGATGTCGGGAAAATATAAATATGGCGCTCATTCCATGGCTCTTTTTCGTTTGATATTGCTTCCCTCTCAGCCATATACATTTGTATAGTGTAACGATGCTCCTTTAAATGCAAATGACGCCTCTCGCTTGAGGATAAATGCTGTTTGATCAACCAAACCATTGTGGAAAAGACTTTGCACTGGGTGGCTGCATGCGGCCTCCGTTGCTGGGGAACGGCCGTGGGCGCCCAGCCGCACTCACGCCGCGCCCGGCCCGCAGGTCCACAGACAAGGACGACGAGGCGCGCAAGCGGCAGAAGAAGGAGGAGCGCGAGCGCCGGCTGGCCGAGGAGCGCGCGCGCCGCCAGCAGGCCGAGGACGACGAGGAGGACGAGGACGGCGATTGGGAGAAGGTGAAGAAGGGCGCGCCCACCGCCCGGGAGAAGCTCAAGATGTTCGCCAAGGACGACGAGATCACGCTGAACTTGGTGAACAAAAAGTACCAGGAGATCAGCGCCGCGCGCGGCAAGAAGGGCAACGATCGGCGCGAGATGATTGAGCTGTTCCACGAGCTGCTGACCATTGCCGAGCAGCACGACATGACGCCCGCCATGATCATCAAGATCAAGTTCGGCCTGACGTCGGCTATCTTCGACTATAACCTGGCCATACGGTTCGCCATGAAGCCCGACCTCTGGGAGAAGGTGCGTATGACAGGCGCGGCTGGGGTTGGTGGTGTGGCGGGCGGGCGCGCTGATGCTCGCGGCGGCCCGCCGCATTGGCCGCCTGGCTTTCTGGTGACGTGCGGCGCGGCGCGGCGCGGCGCCGGCTGGTAGCGGCTGGTGGCTACCGGCTGGACCTCTTCATGAGAGCACTCGCGTCTGAATGTGGAGAGGTGGTCGAACGAGCAGCCGGCGCTGGAACGGTGGGGAGGTGGGATTCGGTCGTGCCGTGCCGTGTCGTGCCGTGACCGGTACGGTGGCGAGGCAGATGTGTCGTCTGGCCAGCCGTATTTGTGTCTGTCTGCCACCTGCTTGTGTTTGCCGTCCCGCCGTCGGACCCGTCTATTAGTTCTGTCTTCTCTCTGTCGGAACCGCGTGTTGTGCTCGCTATGTCGCCCCCTGACCCGTCTGAGGTGTCGCCTGCGCAGGTGAACCAGCGCGTGGAGGACCTGTTGGACCAGCTGCTCAGCAACCCGGACGTCATCGTCGGTGAGAACATTCTGGAGGAGAACGAGGTCCTGGATGAGCCGCCGTACAAGGTGCGCGGCTGCATCCTCACCGTCGTTGAGCGCCTCGACGACGAGTTCGTCAAGATCCTGAAGAACTGCGACGCGCACAGTAACGAGTACTTCGATAGGTAGGTAGAGTGCATAGTGTGATTACCGCGAGGCTGCGAGTGTTGCACCGCTCGCGATCTGGTCCTGTTCACGAACAGTTCTCGGTGGGCCGCTGGGAGTCTGTCTGGTCTTGTTGAACATCTCTCGGTGGGCTGTTGGGAGTGTGTCTCGGAGACCAATGTGAATGTGTTTCATTCGACATAGCGAGTCGGCGTGAGTGTGTCTCAGGGACTGATGTGGGTGTGTCTCGTCCGACACGGGGAGTTGGTGTAAGTTTGGCTCGGGGACCGGTAGGATTGTGTTTCAAGGACAGATGTAAGTGCGTCTTAGGGGCCGATGCGAGTGGGTCTCGGGGACTGGTGCGAGTGTGTCTCGGGGGCCGACGTGAATGTCCCGGGAGCCGATGTGAGTGTATCCGGGGAGTCTGTGTAAGTGCGTCTCGGGAGTCGGTGTAAGTGTGTCTCGTCCGACACGGGGAGTCTGTGTAAGTGCGTCTCGGGAGTCGGTGTGAGTGTGTCTCGTCCGACACGGGGAGTCTGCGTGAGTGCGTCTCGGGAGTCGGTGTGAGTGTGTCTCGTCCGACACGGGGAGTCTGTGTGAGTGCGTCTCGGGAGTCGGTGTGAGTGTGTATCGTCAGACACGGGGAGTCCGCGTGAGTGCGTCTCGGGAGTCGGTGTGAGTGCGTCTCGTCCGACACGGGGAGTCCGCGTGAGTGCGTCTCGTCCGACACGGGGAGTCTTGTGTATAGTGCGTCTCGGGAGTCGGTGTGAAGTGTGTCTCGGTCCACACGGGGAGTCTGCGTGAGTGCGTCTCGGGAGGCGGTGGAGTGTGTCTCGTCCGACACGGGGAGTCTGTGTGGAGTGCGTCTCGGGAGTCGGTGTGAGTGTGTATCGTCAGACACGGGGAGTCCGCGTGAGTGCGTCTCGGGAGTCGGTGTGAGTGCGTCTCGTCCGACACGGGGAGTCCGCGTGAGTGCGTCTCGTCCGACACGGGGAGGCGGTGTGAGTGCATCTGGGGGGCCGGTGTCAGCTGGTCTCCGGGGCCGGTATGCTCGGGGAGCCGGTGTCAGCTGGTCTCCGGAGCCGGTATGCTCGGGGGCCGGTGTCAGCTGGTCTCCGGAGCCGGTATGCTCGGGGGCCGGTGTCAGCTGGTCTCCGGAGCCGGTATGCTCGGGGGGCGGTGTCAGCTGGTCTCTGGGGCCGGCGTGCTCGGGGGGCCGGTGTCAGCTGGTCTCCGGAGCCGGTATGCTCGGGTGGCCGGTGTCAGCTGGTCTCCGGAGCCGGTATGCTCGGGGGGCCGGTGTCAGCTGGTCTCCGGGACCGGCGTGTTCGGGGGCCGGTGTCAGCTGGTCTCTGGAGCAGGCATGCTCGGGGGCCGGTGCCAGCTGGTCTCCGGGGCCGGCATGCTCGGGGGGCCGGTGTCAGCTGGTCTCCGGAGCAGGCATGCCCCTTACCCGGCCGTCGCCGGCAGGCTGCGCGACGAGCACCGCATGGTGCGCCTGATCGACAAGGCGGTGCAGTTCCTCGAGTCGCGTCTGCCCAAACCGTACGATGAGGTCATTGACGTGGCCACCACGCCGCACGAGATGTGCCGCGGTTACCTCAAGCAGATCGAGCACATCTACTACAAGGTCGACAAGCGCATCTTCGAACAGGACGAGGTGAGGTGGACGACCGAGGCAGCTGACGAATTCCGAGTAGGGTTCTCACGTGGGGGAGCGGATTGATCCCGCGGTACGTGAGGACCCCTGAGCGCCAAATGGCATGTTCACTCGCTAGCGCTCCTTAGAAGGGTGCGCGAGAATGTGTCATGTTTCCTTGATAACTCTGATGGAGCACTGACGCCGGTCGAGTAGCGTAGCGTTGAGGAGTTGCTTGCAAAGGAGCGCCAAGGATGTTATCTTGGCTGCGTTTGACCTTGCCCTTTCATTCAGCTTTTGCCGCGTTTTTAGGCGGATTTTGTTCTGTACCATTGTGTCTCCTTAATAGCTGTGTACGTTGCTCTTCCCCCTTTACAAAGCTGACCGTTTCATTTTGTTGTGCAAAACATTTGAAAAGAGTTAACTTCCCATTCAAAACGCCGGCACTTCCAGTGGTAATATGCGGAAATGCAGGGAGTATGCTAACGCTGGGCTGTCAGTTATGAATAGGGATGACAGACTAAGCACTTAATGTTGTGCTCCTGTTTTCCTCTTGAAAGAGATGTGATCTTGACACAGAGGCCGATTGCAAACAGCGCGGTAGCTACTAGCTTTCGGCACACTGTGTGGCGGGCTGACATCTGTCATCCTGCGTCGCGTGTTGCCGGCGCTCTCGCCGTGGGTGAGGTTTCCTGTCAGTGTGAGTCGTGTGTGAGCGCGGTGTTAGTCGCTGCCGCCATGGACCGTCGCCACTCCGTCGCTAACGACGCGCCCCGGCGGCGGCAGGGCACGTTCCCGGCCGACGAGGAGACGAGCCAGCACGAGATGGACCGCCGCTGCAAGTACATCTACACCAACGACGGCACCGCGGTGCTGCGCACGCGCGCCATCCTACACCACATCTACCACCACGCGCTGCACGACCACTGGTTCGAGGCGCGCGACCTGATGCTCATGTCGCACCTGCAGACCAACATCCAGAACTCCGACCCTGTCACCAAGGTCAGACGCCGACCGCCGGCTGGCCAGCGGTGGCGCCGGCTGGCTGGCTAGCGGTGACGCCAGCTGGCTGGCCGGCGGTGACGCCGGCTGGCTGACCAGCGGTGACGCCGGCTGGCTGGCTAGCGGTGACACGGGCTGGCTGGCGAGCGGTAGCGCCGGGCGGATGGCGAGCAGCGCTGGGGGCGTCGCTCGGCTACGGCCAATCCTCCTGGCGATCAGCATAGTCATATTTTTCGTGCAAATGGCTTAGCGACGACCACTTGTGATAGCTCGACCAGAGGTCGATGAAAATCTGTAGTAGTTCGGTGTTGGGTATTGTTTGTGTGGTGCGGGACTGCACTCCGCCGGTGACCGCTGCGTCGTTTCGCCTCAGATCCACTACAACCGGATGCTGGTGCAGCTGGGACTGTGCGCGTTCCGCCAGTCGCAGATTCGCGAGGCGCATAACGCCCTGCTGGACATTCAGAGCAGCCCGCGCGTCAAGGAGCTGCTGGCTCAGGGAAGCAGCCAGGTGAGGCTGCCGGCGCCAAGCTCGGGCCAGCCCGGTGCCCAGCCCAAAACCGGGCCAGTGCTGGGTCCCTGGACCGGGCCAGCGGCGAGCCCCGGACCGGGCCAGCGCCGGGCCCCGGAGCCGTGCCAGCGCCCAGCCCAAAACCGGACCAGCGCTGGGTCCCTGGACCGGGCCAGCGCCGAGCCCCGGACCGGGCCAGCTCTGGGTCCCTGGACCGGGCCAGCGCCGAGCCCCGGGCCGTGCCAGCGCCGATCCGTGGACCGGGCCAGCGCCGCTCGGCGCGCAGTGAGAGCGGCGGCCGGATCGCAGCTGCGGATGGATCGAGCTGAGTGTGTGTGGTGACTGGCGTTTGTGAAGCGAGAGCGGTGGGCTGCTGCCTCAGCGCTGCCTGGGGGCTGGCGTGCCGTGTCTGAGGCCGACACCTGTTGTGTTGGCAGCGTCGCGATGACCTGACCCAGGAGCAGGAGGAGCTGAACAAGCTTCGCGAGATGCCTTACCACATGCACATCAACCTGGAGCTGCTCGAGTGCGTGTACCTGGTGTCGGCCATGCTGATGGAGGTGCCGTACATGGCTGGTGAGTGGACATGGTGTCCGACTGCGACATAGCTACCAGAGCGACGTGCGACGCCGTTTCGTCCGCCGGGTTGTGTTTGCGACACGCGCGTGATTCAAAAGCACGGTACGGCTGGACGGTGCGGACCGACCATTGTCCCGCTGCATCCGACAACTAGGTAAAGGACATGAGCACTGCGCTGTAGTGACGTACCGGACGCCTTGGAGCGGACGGAACCGTCTTTGCTGCCCCAGACTGATGACGGCTGACCGCCCCGACTGCTGAGCAGTATAGCGCGGCAGCCGCACAGCCAGTGGTCCCTCGACGAGCCGCTGGCCGTCGGCAGCCGTGTAGTCCAGCCGTCCGTGTGCATAGACGGGCCTCCTGAGACGGCCGCCTCTGACGATCGGCTCGTTGCAGCGCACGAGTTCGACGCGCGGCGCCGAATGATCTCCAAGTCGTTCCACTACCAGCTGCGCAACTCGGCGCTCAAGTACGACCTGCTGGGGCCGCCGGAGCTGATGCGGGAGCACGTGGTGGCCGCCTCCAAGGCGATGCGGCGTGGCGACTGGCGCGCCTGCCGGGACTTCGTCATCGACAAGACCATGAACGCCAAGGTGAGCTGGGCCACGTGCGAGTGCCGGTCATGGGCGAGGTGCGCGTGGAACAGCGCGATGGCGTCGGCTGATGAGGAGGGCTGGGGGTGAGGGAGGGCATTTTAAGATTCATGCAGTAGGGTGTGCGGGATGTAAATATGACTGCATGATACCAGACTTTGTGCTCCCATCGGCTTCCGGACGTAGGTTTTGTTGACTGTCAATCACTTCGACACCCAAACATGACATCGGGCCTGTTAGGACCATTTGCTAAGCCGTAGGCGCCTCAATGCTGCATTGATCGCCTCCTGGCTCTGTGTTAATCGACTGGCCTTCGATCTTCGGGGTCGAGCCAGGGGAAAACAGCGGGCAGTGAGCCCCGAGCCGGGGGCGCGATGACACGACACAAAAATATGAACATGCCTACCACCCGAAGTGGCCCAATATTGCGACACTGGCGGAGGGGGCTCTAACGCTTACAGTCCATTCCAATCGCCATCAGGTCTCGTTTATTGGATCCATCGTCTGTGGGTTGAATTGCCGTAACAAGTCTACGCCGTGGGAATGTTTCTTAAGCCCTGCGTCGGGTAGCTGTCGGTTTGTTTCCCCCCGTCCTTTGACGGGCACCCAGCTTCCCACCGGACTCGCTGTTGGGGTGACGTGAACCCAGCGTGTGCGCTGAGCTCGGCCTCCGTGGGGCGCAGGTGTGGGACCGCTTCTACAACGGCGACCAGACTCGCGCCGACCGGGTGCGCGCCATGCTGACCCGTAAGATCCAGGAGGAGACGCTGCGCACCTACCTGTTCACCTACAGCAACGTGTACGACTCGGTGTCCATGGTGACCATGGCCGAGCTGTTTGAGCTGGCCGTCTGCGACGTGCACAGCATCGTCAGCAAGATGATCATCAACGCCGAGCTGATGGTACGTGGGCTGCAGCAACAGTGTACATGTATCACGTGTGCTGTATCTAACCGGTGCTTAACACGCTGCGCGGCGCCTGGCTTGCGATGGGACGCTGGATCACCCGGCTTTGTTTTGAGCTGCGAGTAGTGTCCGAACACAGACGAATCAACGCGGGGAGTTGTGCTGCTACTGCTCGTCTTCCTCGGCTCCCTAGATTGTTCCGGTACTAATGAACCTCTAGTTCTCGATTAAATCATTACAAACGCTAACAATTGAAAGAGCATTGGGCTACGCGACGATTTTGACTAATAGGTAGCTATTAGTGTCATTACTTTTCGGCACAGATGGCACTTGCAACGCGGTGAGACCATTTCATGGGAGTGGGCGACATGGGACCATCGTAGTCGGTGCGACCCAAAGCCCAAATCATTATTATCATCATTCCATAGGAGGCAGCTGTTTTGGCGCTGTTTGTGCTCTGTCGTGGCGGCGCGCGCCGCCCCCGCCGCCGCCGTGTGCCAGTGAGCCTCTGACCGGCGTGTGCCGCGCGCCGCTGCCACCAGGCCTCGCTGGACGAGCCCTCGCAGACGGTGGTGATGCACCGCACGGAGCCGAGTCGACTGCAGTCGATGGCGCTCCAGCTGGCCGACAAGCTCTCCAACTTCGTCGAGAACAACGAGCGCCTGCTGGAGATGAAGCAGGGTCGCGACGTGTACTACGGTCGCGGCGGCGGCGGCGGCGGCCGGGGCTACGGAGACCGGCCGCCGTTCCCGCGCGGCGACCGCGGCGGCGGCGGCGGGTTCGGCCGCGGCGGCGGCGGCGGACGCGAGTGGGGCAACCGGCGCGATAACCGCGGCCCCGTCCGCGACAACCGCCGCGACAACCGCCGCTAGGTGAGGCGCCCGGCCGACCGGTGTCGCTCGTGCGAGCCGGCGCCTGGGTCGTTCGGGCTGTCAGTCTGGGACTGCGACTACGCGCATTTACCATGTTTGTCCGTTGCTTGCCGAAGTATAAAAGTGGCGCTCGTTCTGTTCGACGATTAGTAAGGGTGTTGGTAAGGGTGCAAGAGTGTAAGGATTCCCGCGGCGGGAATGCCGTGTGGACAACTGTTCGCCGGTGCGGTTTTTGATCGACCAGCGGATCCGCATATGTCACAGCGTTCCCAGTAGTTACGGTGGTGTGAACCGTTGGCGTGATGGTGATGTGTGGGGCGGCGGCCGCCGGCGCCGGTCCGCCTAACAGGCACGCCGACGTCGACAGGGCTGCCGATCTGACGGCCGACCCGCCCCTCCGGCGGACCGGCCGCCCAGGCGACCAGCAACGCCGCAGCCAGTCGCTCGCCGAGGACGGCACCCTCCAGGCGCCCGGCCGAGGACCGCTGTCGCTCGGCCCTGAAGCAGTGCGGTCACGCTGGCGTTGGGGACCGTTGGCGGTGTGGGCTCACGGTCGGCCCGGTGGTGGAGGCGTCACGCGCCCGGTGTTTTGGCGATAGGTGTATTCTAATAAACACGCCGCTCGGGAGGACTGTTTGAGGTTTCGACGTGCGGCAGGGAAGTCCGAAGTCGGAGAATGGTCTGAAAGGAACGGAGAGATGGCACCAGTTTGAACACACCAGAGGCAACGAGAACAAAGTTAGGGGGCTCGAAACCGTATTGGAAAAGGGGAGTTGAAGCCACCTCCCCCCCCCCCCCCCCCCACACACACACACTGAGTAGGAAACTACAGCCATGGCCAACCGACACAGAAAGTTGGTCGAGTGCCCCAGTTACCGAGCTCTGAGACGGCGTCGCTGTTTATTGTCTCCCCGCTGGCGATCGAGGAGTAATTAGCGCACCATCCATCACCGGCCCGGCGGCGAGAGCGACAGGTCATCTGGGCCGTTCTGACCACGAGCGGTGTAGGAATCATTTCCCGGCTAGGTGGACAGTGAGGCTGAGATGGGAGGTATTTTAGGTCAGCGGGTCTGAGTCTGTTACGGCATCCAAGTCTCCCGATCGAGCGGCCTTCCTCGTCCGTTCGTCACGCACCACTGACCGCGGTACGCGCCAGGGTGGGTATGTTTCCCACGGGCTGACCCTGTTCGGAACATAATGTCGTGGCTTTTGGAACAAATGTACAGCGCTCGTGCCTCCAGAGCACTGAGCGATTTGACAGCTTCGGAACGAAAGCTTCATTCGAAATGAGGTGGGAAGTAATGCTCGTGAACGGTGTCGTTTTATGGTAGCATGGATGAATGGATGCCGTTTTATGGCAGGAACCAACGAATGGCTCGCGCTTACACGATCGATTGCCAGTTTAACCGAGGCTTTATGTCGACCAGCCGACCCCGGCATAGCGCTGGATCGAGCCCGGCTACGTCCTTCCGTCATTTCACATCGGTGATGGCTTTACACCGAAAAGCTACACCGAGCTGCTGGTTTGCCTGGTGGACTCACTCTGCAATATAGATGGACTGCCGCTACGACCGCTCTGGCTAATTGATGTATCATGACGTCGGCCCTTGCTTGAACTGCTAAATTAGCGCCAACGTAAACGCGTGACAACGGTTGTTGCTAATGTCCCTGTTTGTGTGCCTGTGGTGCTTGCAACCGACGCAAAGCCGCATGTTCAGATTGATGAATGTAGGACCGCTCCTTCGAAACTGTGCATTCGTGCCGTCGTCCCTAGTGCTGCTTCAATGGCGTCAGGATTCTAGCCCAAGCAAATGGCGCTGCCTGATGCCGGCATCCCAGTGGCCCGGGCATAGGCTGTAATGCTGCCCTGGGGTGTGACCTCCGGCAACAGTGTTCGCTGTGCGTAGAGCGATCAGTCCGCGACCGGCCGTGGTTGAGGCAACCCCACGCCTGTTGCGAGGACACGGTCCGGAGCCTCCAGAATGATCTGCGTCTGTTTATTTTGCACCGGATGAAAAATGCGTTAATTAAGCCGTAAACAGATAGATTGTAAAAAGGACAATATTTCAACCAGCAGCTTGTTTGTTTTGAGAGCTTGTTTGCATTGAATGCTATTTTAATAAGGTTGTTGAAAGCTCCCGTCCAAAGCAAACAAGTTGTTTAAAGATCATCTCTTTTAAGTGTTCTATGTGCCAGGTCAGTTATATTTTCAAGCATATCAAAGCACACTATAGTAATGCTATTTTGAAAACAGCTAGAATGTACGAAAAGTGTAACAAAAACTCCGCTACTTTTAGAAATCATCGCTCTTTGCAATGCGCTATAAAATATGTTATGTCCAACCGAAAAGATTGCGACTTGAGTGTGGATTACAATCTGCTAAAACGATGGACATGCTCGTGACCACCGATCGAAAGGCTCCACACATCTACAGGGTGTGAACCGAACGCTTCGAAACCTAACTGAAGAAATTAAACGGGCGAAGATGACTTGAAGGCAGGACTAGCCGACAGTGATCTACATATCCTGGAAAGTAAGGTGGAACGAACAACTCATTTTGAATGCAGAAAAGTTCAGGAAAGAAAAAATGAGTTTGAGAAACTAAACAGCCGTTTTCAAAGAAACGTCAGAATTGGCTCCGACCACCGACGTAACCAGCAGCGGAAGGGCACCTCCACGCCCTATAACAAGAAGCCTCAGATGCTGGGTCACCTGCTACTTCAGAGACATTGTAATACCTATCCGACAGCAGGAATCGATGATGGCAGCTCCTCGTCTTCGTCTCTACCGCAGCAGCACACTGCGCCGGGCACCCGTCCGCGAGAGGAAGCCGCGTCAGTCGGCGCCTTTACAACGAACATTAATTCAGGCTCGTCACAACCGGCACCACCATTGTGGCGAGCAATGGTGATGCCGGTTGCGACGAGGCTGAATTAATGTTCGTTGTAAAGGCGCCAACTGACGTGTGGACAGTTAATTTAGTTAATGCACCCCTAACTTGCACCCTGCTTCAGAGATTATTCTCAAGGCTTTAGAGTCAATCGCAGCAGTGGAATATGTGGTTAGCAAAGGTATCTCCTCTAGTGATAATGCTAGTTCGCTCCGTTTTGAAGTAACACAATCTCTGCAATCTTGCAAACCATCAAGTATTCACCTCGCATCAAATGAAACGCCAACTATGCGTAGTTTAAAGCAGACACGGGACATAGTTCTTCTTCCGAGTGATAAGGGAACGCTAATTTGCGTTTTTAAACGGAGCGGTATCAGTCAAAGATCAGTGATTGACTACGTGGTTCAAGCAGGCATGGGCATTTGAGGACCCCCCCCCCCCCCCACACACACACACTCCAGTATTTTCCAAAAAGGTCGAAGACACCCTTAAAAGTGTAGAAGAATAAACAGGGGTATCATCACAGCCAAGATGATCCTCGATAGTTTCTGTTACTTATGCTGCATCCAAACATTTGGCGTCTTTCTGTGAGCCTCTGGTAAAAATCACGGAGCACGATATCAAAACTATAATTAATCTGTTGATATCATGCAGACATCTAAGATGGCGACAAGTAGCTTAGTAGATACCAACTGGTAAATGTTTACTAGTAAACGTAGATATGGTAAAATTTGATCTACAGTCCCTTCCAACTTCGATTCCAACTGGAAAGGGTTGCAAAACGGTTGACGAAAACTAAATAACGAAATGAGCCATGCGGTTGGACTCGTGAGGTGCCGGGCGAGCATGGAGGTAATAATAGTATCCGACTCCTGGATGCTGGAATGTGCCTTGATATCATGCACTTCCAGGCCAACGGTGATTGATACGAACACGGGACACAGCAATGGAAAGTCGTGTCAGCGTGCTGGTAGCTAATTTGTTTACACAAAAACTCGAACGAATGGCATTGGACACTTTTCCTCATGAGGTTTAATTATAGAGGAGGTATATGAGTGTCACGATTGCTGAAACGCACCATGTCCCAGAGCTCCTCGAGCATTTAAGAAATGCGCGCCCAGGGATTAGTTTCACCAAAGAGCTAAAGGCGAGTGACTCTTCCTTTCCTCGGCATCTTGATATCACTATCAAGGCATTTTTAAGGTTTGCTGAATGCTTCAGTATGTAAGGACATAAATACACCAAACGCAAACGCACTAGGAGACAACTGACCCTTCGCGACTTTACCATATGCGAAAGGAGTATATGAAAGGATAGCGTGGCTTTCAAAATCTCACACTCGTGCAGCTACCAAGCAGTGTGAAAACTGTAGAAATTACTTAGTTTGGCCCAAAGACAAGTTGAAATCGAATCAAAAGCCTAGAGTAATCAACCAATGCACATGTGCGTGAGGAAAGGTCGAGGAGACATGTGGAAGTTTTAAGGAAATATTCCTTACTTAAAGACATTGAAGCAAGCTTCAGATATGATGAAATAAGCTCACTCACCACTATCGGTATACCTTTAAGTGGAAAAGACTGCTCTGTACAACACAATTTCTCTATTAAGCAGATATGCTTCTTAGTACGGCATTGTTTGCTTACGTCATCGCAACTTCTACAACATTGAGTGAGAGCCAACTGACGGTCGTTATGTTTCAAAATTGCACTCACAAATACCAGATATGAACGAATCGACACTATATTTTTGTCGGCCTCGATCACCGCATGCTCAGCGGAGTAGCAGGATTTGAATAACGTGAATAACGTGATAACAGGATTTGAATGCCTCGGTGACCTTGAAATGCCCCCCCCCCCGGGAAAAATATGCACATCTTTGCGGGCGTGTAGCTCAGGAACTAGACGGGTTTAGGTCTTAAGAAAGACGGGACTGTGAGCTGCACCGAATGGTCTTCAAGATGGCTATGTCAGTTCAAAATATCCTACGAATATAGAACACTCCCTTCAAAGACCAGAAAATGTGAACACCATGAGGCGATAAAAAACGCGGATTCTCATTTCTTAGACGCATTCAGGTTTATCGAAGCATGTGCTGGCCACAGGTCACTGCATTGCGTGGGAGGAGACTGAAGAACAAGTAATGCATTTTTATTTCTAAAGACAGCAGCAACAAGTATCTCACACAAATCGGGGTACCGCTATCCAGTGCATATATATGATTATAAGATGATAGGACTAGAGCAGAACAACAGCAGTGCTTGGGATAGATGTGAAATACGGATCACGTTGGCGGGTCCACGGGTCAGGCCAATTTGGCGCGTTTCCTTTGTTTTGTTTTGCCATCGCGATCCGCAGTACGCGTCACTACTCTATCGATGTCGAAATGTGAAATAACTATACACATATTTAAGAGTCACGCGCGTTGACAGTTAATTGTTATGTGACATGATAAAGTTCAGAAAAAGAAAACAAACTGCATTAAAAATGCAGAGAATCTTGAGTGCACTGCATGTGCTCTTTTGTTTGTTCAGCGGCAATTTGTTCAGCTCCTCATTCCTGTCTTCGGAAACCTATCTTCATATGTGCATCGTGGAGGGCTAAAGATAGGAGGCAGGTGCACAATACCGCGTTTATTTCATAGAGACTAGTTGGATCCTATCGCTCTGAGCTAGGTATTTCGGAGAGCATTTGGCAGTATAAGTTGAAGTTGGCCACTGAACATCATCGAAGTCAGGCACAACACGACTCGAACGACTAGCTTTAGTTAACTTGCGCAGAACAAAACTAGCAAATAGTGGTATTTTGTAGGTCACTGACGTAATAGTGAATGGCTTATAGCGTAAGCGGAAATTTTTATATTGATTCTAGATCGCAATGACTCAAGTGACATCACATGACTCGAATATCGACACGTTTTTAATGAAAGGTTGCTGGTGGCAGCAAAAAGCGCCGAAGCCGAAGAGATTCGAGGACTTCACGCCGCATACTCTCCGGTGATAAAGACAGGACCAGCTCACTGGAATATGTTGAAACTAGCTGGGATGCCCGGCCGATGACGAGCAATGAAGGGACGTGCAGCCTGAAGGAACGATTTTAACGCAAGCACGACGTAGCTTTATTTGGTTTTATGATCAACGTTACCGCCCGAGAAAACGCTTGCTGTAGTCAAGCAGTTATTACAAGCTGAAAACACCATACCGCAAGGCGTTCAACTTCCGAGAAGCCGCAGGTATACGGTAACGGGGGAGCTAGTCACGCTATAACTTATGTCACGCAACGGATAAGCTGTCGGACATGATCTGTTTTTGGAAACATCCCTCAAATCATGTGTGTGGGTTTTGCTGTCCATTTTGTCGGTTATAGTTTGGTTTTCACTCTACTGGCCAATCGATTAGCACCCGGTGCCTGACATTATTCGCTGCCCTGATGACTTTCAAATGGTGCAGAGCCGACGGGTGCCAATGTCAACACCATGGAGGAAGTTTACTCCCGCTGCGCCGCATGCGGTGGTCCAGTCTGCACCGCAACGCTACAATGCGGCTCAGCTGGGTAACCTTCGTCCCGCCGCGCTGATTCATGACATGCATGGATTGGGTGCCTGCCACCGACGATTTTCGGGCTATCAGAGAGAAAACGATGCAATTTTTCCAGTTATCGTGCAGTGCGTGTTGAGTTCTTAGCATGTAAAAAACAAATTTAGTGCTGATGCGTTTAATTCGCCGCGGAGGGGAGCAAAAATAGCAAAAACTGTGTGCTACTTGTTCTGACTATGATGAACGAGTTAGAAAACTGCTGACATTCAAATTGAGCAATGTGTCTCCACGGGGCATAATTCATGTAGGCTTCATAGATTCAACAATCGACGGGTAATCTGGCGCAAAATGGACCGTCGTAGTCGGTGCACCACAGAACCCCTATCATTTTCATCATCACACGCGACGGCTTTTGAATATACTGCGCCGCCAGTGCGTCAAAAAATGTTATATTCTAAACTAACAAGTTATTAGAACACCAGACTGTTGCTAACAGTGGCGAAACCGCCAGAAAAAAATCGTCGTCTCGTATGTTTCGACCTTTTCCACAGTGGCTGGTCGCCCAACTACCGTACCAAGTATGTAGGGGAGCACGCGCAGCCTTGTGGCGAAGGAACTTTTTTGCTGTTGCTGTCCTCAAAGGTGTTGAGCGCACACAGTGTCTTACGTATCCCAAAAGATGCCTGTTTCAGATTGTCATCCATTGGGCAATGAGATGCAAAACAAAACCATATGTTCGATGATATTTTTTGTGGTTTCGCCGAAGCGGAACGATTTATGTGCGCAGCGTGTTTTACATTGCTATCCGGCTACGTATGTGCGTGTCAGCGAGCATTTCTCTAGGCCAAGAGCTGAAGGAAGCTTCTGTCCCGGTCCAGGGATCCCAGCGGCTGTCATTCTGGCGGCACAGCGACCACTGCACGGCTGCGCGTTGTGCCACTGTACTGGTTTGTCCTGGCACCAGTGTGCCACGGCATCAGTGTACTTATAGCCAGTTCGCTGTTATGTTGTAGTGCAACGACTTAAGTGTGCCGCTGTACAGTGTGCCACTGCACAGTGTGCCGCTGCACCAGCGTGCTAATGCCCCCTGTGCCACCACACTGCTGTGCTACTGCACAGTGCGTACCGTGTAATTGTGGCACTGCACAGCGTATATCAGTGTACTTCTGTCATATGTGTCACATTGGGCAGCAGTATAACTGCCACAATAGGGAAACTATGCCACACAGCAGCATAATCCACATTGCACAGGTGAAATTTTGGCTGAGTTATGCCACCCAGTAGCATAACTCCATTAGTGTGGCATTATGCTACTGTGCAACTCCCATTAGTGAACCAATACACCAATATGGAGCCCTAGCAACGTGACACCGCAACCGTATACCACTGCACCAATGTGCTACTGCACAGTAGGTAATGCATCGATGCATTATTGTACACTGTGTGACTGCATCAGTGTGGCATAAACCAGCGTGTCACAGTACCAGCGTTTCACTGCACCGGCGCGCTATTCCCAGGCTTTTCACCGCACCAATGTGCTGCAGCACTTGTTCTGGTGCACCAGGATGCGACTGCATGGGCGTGCCACTTGACCAAAGTGTCAATGAACCAGCGTGATAATGAGTGCGTAGCTACACCACGCGCAGCTGTTTCAGCGTGTTAATGCACAGTGTGCAGCTGTGCCGGTGTGCTCAGCCACAGTGCCAGTGTGTCACTTGGCCAATGAGCCAATACACCAGTGTGTAACCGCAGAGTGCGTCACCGCACCAGCGTACTACTTTCCCGGTCTTTTACTACGGCGCAGTGTGACACTGCACCGGCGTGTTCTGTGTGATGCGCCACTGCACAGTGTGCCACTGCATCAGCGTGTTCTGTGTGATGCGCCACTGCACAGTGTATCATTGCGCCGGAGCGTCAGTGCATCAGCACACTACCGCATAATGTTCAAATGCGCCAGTGTGCCAGCGCAACATGATGTCACTGCACCAGCAAGCTTTGGCAAAGTTTCCTAACGCACCGGTGTGCCACTCAATCAGTGTGTAGCTGCATCAGCAGCTATCGTTTCACAGTGTGATACTCAGCCAATGTTGACCTGCACCAGTGTCTCAACACACTAGTATGCTATTGCAGATGATGTCTTTACACCAAAAGGCCCCTGCTAGGGTGCATTCCTGCAGAATGTGTCACTGCACAGTATGCCACCGCACCGTTGTGATACTGTGATGTTCCACTGCACCAGTGTGTCATATCACCAGTGCAAGTGTGGTAAAAGTGCATCATTTTTTACTTGTGGCTTTAAATTGTGGCTTCAGTGGTCTCGCCCAGCTTGCCACGCCTGTGACAGCTTATGGCCCCGCGCCAACCGAGAATACCGAGCGACAGATTTCAGCAACATCGAGCAAGCAGCACCATTCTTTGAAACCTGGCAGCAGGGTTCTCCAGGCATTTGAATGGAAGCTTTCGATCAAGCCGGGTTTCTTCATCGTTGCAGTGTGATCATGTTTTTGCCTCTTGCGTTCGATCAGCTAGCGAAACACGGAACATGTAAATCGCAAAAGACAACTCCAGGTCAATACCCGAATTCGGGTCCTGAGTCATAACAACATGAGACCAGCACTTCTTGACAAATGACTGGGCACACTGTTATATCGGCTGAAGTCAGGGTGGATGCGTACAGCTGGTCACACGCACTAGAGCAGCAGACCATGGATGGTTTGGTACGGTTTTAAGGATTGACGTTTTAAGGATCTTGGCACCCGTAGAAGACAAGGACTTCAATGCAACTTGGTGCATTTGAGTCTACCGTACACAAAACACTAAACGTGATCGACGATGTCCGATGCATTGCAAAATCAGTGATCAAATAGAAAAGGGACCTTGTCGTGTTTTCTTTTTTTGGACCCAGTCTCGTATGTCACAGGCTAAAGCCTGAGCCGAGAGAGAGAGAGACCGTGTCATGAAAACTACGCAGACTGGTAGCACGGTTAACTGAGGCTTAAGCGCATTGCACATGGATAAGAGTACAACAGGGATGAACAAATGCAAGCAATAGTTTTTTTCCTCGCAGAGAAAACGGGAGAATGGAGATATAGGTGCGTTCATATTTCGACAACATGCCTTTATCGGAACAAATAGCAGAGGTAAATTCAAGATTGCATTCTCCTGGCTTTTATACGAGCAGTAAGGCTATTGTTGCTGTCTCACTTTTGAACTACTTTGGTCGCGGTCGTCAGAAAACGCATTCAATCTAAATTCATCGGTTCCTTCACCTGCAATGACTCGGCTGCGTCAGATCCCTCCTTTCTAAAGCCGGACAATCTTTATAACAAGCCTTCTGTAATTTGCTCCTGAACACTCCTATTGCATCAGTGACTCTCTGCTAAGCCCACGAATTATGAATATTCCGATGCATTGACGTTCAGACATGTTTGTATGCGCGCCTAAACGCCACTGGCTGCTTTCGCTTGCGTTTCGGCGTGGTCTGCATGGTGACAACACACTAAGACTCAACTGCACAACAACATTGTGCTTCGTCCCCAGCGCCGCAAAAGATGAGCTACTGGCGAATACTGGCTAACCTTAGAAGTCCTCTTTCAATACACAGCTGTTTTTGGCACCCCTCGTGATGTATTGCAATAATAAACGGACATGTGGGGGCAATAGTCCGGCAGACAAACACGCATACAGACATACAGACGGGAAAGCGGACGAATAAAGCCTCACACTTGTGGAGCATTATTAGCACAGAATCGGCTCAGGTAGCGGATTTTATGGCCCAGCTCAGAGCCTTCCAGATGACACCTCCCCAGGCTCGGTGGAAGCCGCGATACATAATTGAAGTAATAGCCCCCGTACCGCATTAGACGGTGTGACCCATAGCGCCCAGACGTGCTGGCGCCGGCGGCAGCTGGCGGGCGAGCTGACCGGGCCAGATGGTCCCCTCCAGCAGCGTCCTGCCCGCCGCGGCGGCCAGTGAGCACGCGGCGGCCCGTCCGGCCAGACGTCAGGTCTCAGCGGTCCTGTTCAGCGCGCGCGGCGCCATGGCGGCCGGCCGACTGCTGCTGGCGCTGATGGCCACGCTGGTGGCGGCGACGTGCGCCGGCTCGCGGACCGTCTCGGACAAGTCTGAGGAGCTGCCCGTAGCGGCCGCCCACAAACAGATCGTCTACCGGTACATCCCCATCGACAAGGCGTTCCTAGGCCTCGACAAGTCGTACGACGACTATTACGGCACGTCGAAGCCGTCGACGGACTACCGGCGAAGTGACCACGGCTTTTCGAGCTACAATGACTGGCCGTCCAACTACAACAGTCCCAGCGGCAGCGGCTTCTCGGGCCATCGGCGCGAAGACGACTACTACAACTACCGCCGTGACGACGACTACCACAGGGGTCACGACGATCACCGCGCGGGCTACCGTAACGACGCGGACACGTACTCGACGTACTCGGACAGCAACCGGCGTCACCACGACACGGACCACACCCACCGCAACACGCACCAGGAGTACTACGACTACGATTACACCCAGGACTACAGCCCACCCACGCGACGGCCCGCACGGCGGCGCAAGAAAAAGGTCAACCGAAACGACAAGTGGCCAATGCTCGACTTCGCCGAGGCTGTCGTGAAGAGGTGAGCGTTAGGCCCGCTTAGAACACCAACGCCTTCGCGACCCATCGTGACAGGCGTGTGGCGTTTAATGACGCTCTTGTCACTTGTAGTGGCATATAGTGACGCTCTTGTGGCCTGTAGTGGCATAAAGTGACGCTCTTTTGGCCTGTAGTGGCATAAAGTGACCAGCTTTGACCTAGCCAACAGGCAATGTAACAGCGCAGTTTTGAAGGATGACTTTCAGGTTGGAACGTGAACGAAAGACCTTATCGATTCGCTAGATGTTTGTTCTGTTGTTTTTGGATGACCAATGTTTCAAACTGCAGTCGTGCTACAGCTGATATCAATATTCTTGACAGTTGACAAGACGTCAGACAACCTTGGCAAACACGACAAAATGCGTTTTCACACAGAAGCACGTACCTGGTGCAATTGAATACGAGCGCAACGAAGCGAACTTCGTCCCACCACCAATTGTGGCATTCTTAGGTTGTAATTTTTGTCTGCTTTCCTTTCTTGTTCTTTTCCTTTAGCGTCTTGGAATGTGCTGAGCGTGGCGTCCAGTGGCTGACGCGCTTCAAACGGTCCGTTCATGAATAATGTTACACATTTCTACGGTTTTTCAACCTCTCTCCGATAGGTACGCACTGGTTACGCTGGCCGAAAGTTCTTTCCTTGGTTACGTATTGATTACGCTGAGTGCCTCTCCATGGTTATGCTGTTATTTTTGTGTGCTAAAATTGCGTATGATTTGCAGCCACGCCTAATTGTGAAGTCTCGCTGTCCAAGAACCCCCTTCCCTCGTCACGCTTCGATTTCAATCCATCTCGCCTCCATGCGTAACGCATGTAGTTTATGGACCGCCTTTAAGTGTTGGTCCTAACCTTCTCTTGAACACGACTATCTGTTTTGGTTAAGGGGGTGGTTGTAGCAGTCTTTAAGCACATTTATGCCATAACTACTGTGAATAGGACTTAAATTGTTATGTCTTTAGGCATCTGTAACCTTGAGCTACATTCAAAGTTGCAAAGTTTTTTGAGAGCATGCATAGTTTTTTCTTGTTTTTTTTTACCACTCATCACTCATTAACAGTTGACTTGGAGTGCCCATCCCTGTCCACCACGGCACGCAGAACCTCAGCAGGCACTGATAACTGGCATTAGTCTTTGATAAATTGCTTCTGAATTAACCGCTTTCAAGTGATACAACCTGCCCCACCCCGGGGAAAATTATATCAAATGGTGCGGAAGTTGCGTCTACGTTCATGCAGCAGCGAGAAGGCTGTTACGTGAGCAAGCTTTACGATTCTCATTCTCGTGACTTATTTTCTCGTGATTATTCTCGTGATTCTCGTGAGCAAGCTTTACGATTCCCGTGAGCAAGCTTAACCATCATTTGCATTACGATTGGTGGACATAATATGCTCCTTTCTGTTATGTCGCAACTGATCGTGATTATAGCATGACAGTTTTCAGTCTTTTAATCAGCCAGTGTTTTTTACTCCTACTGTCACCTCGATCTTTGTGGCTCGGGTAGGAATTACATATATATATATATATATATATATATATATATATATATATATATATATATATATATATATATATATATATATATATATATAGGTATCGTAAATAAGGTTATTGTCCGGATGATCAAGATCTTGACAATCATAACCATCAGTTATTAGCCTAAATCAGTCAACGGCATCCTTGAGCGGAAATCAGGCAATGACATCACTGTCGGTAAATTGCATCACTGATACAACGTGCTCCATGCAAAGCTGATGCATGTACCGCCGACATATTGGAGGAAAGCTCACGCCACCCTGAAATTCCTTGACTAGCATACGCCAAACGTTTTGCGGCACGTGCGGCACGTGCTTCCCTACCACTCAGTATGGATAAATATGGCATTCAGATAAGCTGGCTTCTGCCGTGAGGGCTTGAAGACCATTTGCAGTCCACGCACTCTTAAACTCTAAACAACTTCCACCGATCGCCGGTTTTTAACGGCATGCCAAAGGCGTATTGTTGCCAAAAGCGTATTGTTGCCAAAAGCGTATGGTTGCCAAAAGCGTATTGTTGCTCACCTCAAGACGCGTGCGTATATACAGCCGGAAGTACAATGAAAAACAGAATGTTACTGCGCGTCAGATGAGTGGCTCAAAACAGTCATCCGTTGCATAAATTTGGAGTAAATCGCCCAGGTATGATTCACGTATAACATATGCAAATATGAGACTATTATTCCGCGAGTTCAACGAAAAGTTATATTATGGCCTTGATTTCTTCCCTATGGCGTGAAACACAGGGACTCTTTTAGAAGCGCATCTTGGCCTTGAGAAACGGCGTATCACATGGTCACCACTGGTTTAAAATTCCACCAACGCACTTCTCGGAAACTGGCCTTTGCCTCCCGCTGTACCAATCACACGCGTTTATTTGCACCAGGGCGATGGAACACTATTTGTAATGACGTCCTTCGTACCTGCAGAGGTGTCACTTTTTAAGGCCGCGGGTTTGCAATGCATGAGTTAAAATAGGTCAAAAGTGGTACCTCTAGCACGTAACAGCTGATAACGTCCCACAGCAGATCCTGCCGCAGTTAAATCACGACGGCGGCGGTCGCGAGAACTGCATTGTCGCGGACTCGGGATGCACGAACGCTACCAAAAAAAGGAAGTGCAGTGTAGTTTTAAAGCGTTGACAGTGTAATGTGGACTCGAAAATGTCTAAACTCTATCTCCTTATCATATCTGTAAATTTGCTATTAATAGGCGCAAAAGGTCCTGAGGTTTCACCTTTCCATATTTTTTAAATACGCTCCAAAGGTAGGATACTCCCGTCAAGTTCAAGTCTTGAGATCAAGTCACATAAATGGAGGTTGGTGACTTATGACCATTTACCATCGTGGAGAACTCGTCATAAAAGCTTTTCAAGTATAACGAAGCTTCTTCACTGGCAACAGCACTTAGCTAAAACTTTTCGCACAATCGCCGCGCCGCATTCAAAGAGCATATCCATCTCACTGTGCCAGATCAGGACGCTGAGAATGGGGGCCGCCACTTACGCACTGAATCCGCCGCCGCCAACTGGGTCAGAAGGAGGCGTCGATCGTTCCGCGTGGATGGCAAGCGCCTGAGCCGCCGGCGGTAATGGTGGGAGGACGGCGGACGCCGCCCGGCCGCCTGTCCTGCGGCGACACGGCGCGCCGCGCGCCGCGCGCCGCCCTCGCCGCCGCCGCCGAGCGGCGCGGGACTAAGCGGTCACTGGTTTGGATCGGATCACAGGCGGCCGGTGCGCGTGCTTGCTGGCGCATCGATAGTTAATGTGATTTAAAGGAGTTCAACGGTAGTTGTTCATTGCGCCTTGACGTCCCGACTGCCTCAGGGGGGGGGGGGGGGGGAGGAGGTGTACACAGGATGGAAGCGCACAGCGAGGCGACCTGTCAAAATAGACGGGCCAAGTGATTTTCGGGGATTCATTGGGGCATTGGGCGTCCTTCAAACGTCCAACAAACGTTTTTTAAGGCAAACATTTATAACTAAGAAGACGCATACGAAAGCTAGAGCGCAACCACTGTCACTGCAACCATGTCGTTTGACGTACTTGAGGTAACTTCGCTGCATATCATCGCTTACCGTACGGTGATATCAGGAGCGGAGTTGCAATGATTTCTGGGGTTTGTAGCACGTAATTTCGGAAGCTAAGTATCGTAAGCCTTTTGTCAACGTGAGTGTTTTAGGAAAAGTTTTGTTAGTTGGAGTCTCATGGTGACAGTCAGGGACCGGAAACGACATGCCATTTCTAAATAGGCTCAAAGCTTCAATCCTTGATTGAAAGATCCTTGATCCTTGAAAGCGTCATGATTGAGTGTCTGGCTGCTGTATCCGTCATTATGGAAATGCGCACCGCGCGTACTCAATACTTAGTGACAATTGTATGTGCCAAACCATTACTGGGGTCGGGCCCAAGCACCGACCCAAAAGTTGCTGGGTCCCGGGCTGGGCTACACTGCGGCCTCTTGCTGCTGCTGCTTCCGCTGATGGCTCCTAAGCGTGGACACGGCCTTTACATGTTTAGAATGCACGCAAAGCTTGCTTCGGGTTTGGTTCAGCACAGCTTCATGAGGTGGTTGTTATAATTCTCTCAAAGAGATTGTTGCGACGATTGGTACGCGTTGTTTCACACATATCACATATTGATGAGCACCTCGATTATACCAATAGCTTGCGTATGTGGCTGGGTGATTATATCCGCGTTCAGTCGATGCTAAGAACAGGCTATGTCGGGCGGCCTTAGTTCGTCACGATTTTGTCCTGTGGTGTCTCGCGTACGGGCCTGCAATCACAACTGGGTTAAAACGCTTCAACCAGGAGATGACAACCAAGCAAACAGCACAGGCTATCAAGCATGGATGTGTTGCATGGCGCTTAGCCAACTCGCCCATGCCTTCTGCCTTAGCTTGATGCCTCCATGGTACGTCGGCTCGACTTTTTTCTAATCTTGGGAACTTCTCACGTCAATACTGCCGAACCGGCCTGGAATGTGGCCGTCCGGCGGCGTATCCGTCCGGCAGGCCGAGAAAACGCCGCCGGACCGACGCCTGTCGTCCCGCGCCGATTCACGCCGGGGCGGAGACGGGCCGGCCACGTCGCCTCCGCGCGCCGACCCCGCCGAGACGGCGCGCGTCGCCGTCCCCGCGCCCGCCGGCCGAGAGGCCCCGCCGACGCCGCCGGCGCCGACGCCGGCCAGGCCGACGACGCCGTCGTCCCGCGCCGATCCCCGCCGGGCCGAGACGGGCCGGCCGACGTCGCCGTCCCGCGCCGACCCCCGCCGGCCGAGACGGGCCGGCCGGCGTCGCCGTCCCGCGCCGACCCCGCGCGGCCGAGACGGCCGGCCCGCGCCCGCGCCGACCCGCCGGCCGAGACGGGCGCGACGACGCCGCCGTCCCACGCCACCCCTGCCGCGAGACGGGCCCCGGCGTCGCCGTCCCGTCGACCCTGCCGGCCGAGACGGGCCGGCCGACGCCGCCGTCCTCCATCGACCCCCGCCGGGCCGAGACGGGCCGGCCGACGTCGCCGTCCCGCGCCGACCCCTGCCCGGCCGAGACGGGCCGGCCGACGCCGCCGTCCCGCGCCGACCCTCTGTCCGGCCGAGCGCTGCCGGCCGACGCCGCCGTCCTCCGCTGACCCCCGTCGTGCCGGCGTCGTCCTCCGGATCTGGGCCGCAGTCGCCGGCTGCTGCCGCGCGGCACAGTTACGTCGCGATATGCTCACCAGATGTTCTGCTGTGCTGAAAGACGCAGCGGTGCTGGACTGGTACAATCAGGCTAATGCTTTGTTCGGATCCGAGCTGTCGTCTGGGGCGGAAAGGAAGCTGGGTCGTAGGCCCTGCGTTGCGTGAAGCTTAGTTATTTATTTGTTATAACGCTATGAACCATGAGCACAGAATGCGGCTATTCTTAGCCCAGCTTCATAATCCACATAGCAATAAATACATGGGTCAAGTACAGTGAATGTCATCCAATTACTCCCGTAGTTATGCACATTGGACGAAGTTTTACTGCGTTACAAGCCACGAAACTGAAAAAAATAAAGCAACGGAAATAAACATTGACAATGACGGAAACGACAAGTACGCAGAGGATATCTCCTATACATACATATACATTATATCTCAATATACAATAACAAGCTAGTCGTCTTGCCACGGCATTTAAGAGCCGCGCCCCACCCCTTAGCATGTAGTGCGGGCGGGGACCATAGCAAGCAAAGCACCGTCTTCCATCGTGGGAACGGATGCGGGACAGGTAGAGGAGATCACGGGTCATGTGCACGTAGAGCAAAAATCTAAGTTTTACTTCAAAAGAGAGGTTAAAGTATAAGAGGTCATTATAAGAGAGGTTAATATATGATACAGTATATCCTACCTGCAGACCTATTCTTTTCAAAGGGCCCGTGATGGGAGCCAGTTTTCGCTTCACAGGCACATCACGTGCGCTAAGCTGATCATTCTGTAAGCTGCCAGCTGTTCTGCTTTGAGAAGCATTCCATGCGATCAACCAAGGCGCCTACGTCATATTTTCCACGGGGCACTAAAATTCCGTGTCATAGGCGTAATGGACAACATGGGCCTCAAAGTGGTTCAGATCATTGACGAATGCGCTGTGCGGTAATGCTCCAGAGCCATTACCAGGGCCAAGGGTAATAGCTATAGCCAGCCGTAGTAGTGGCCAGGGCTCCAGAGTTCCGAAAAAGCGAGGTAATCCCGCAACGCGCAAGACAGGTGCATGAACCTGGAAGAGAGATCCGCGTTTGAAATTATTTGGATATGGTTGGTGCGGTAGGTGCACAACCATTCAACATAACCTCCGTGCAGCTCATTTCAAGTCATGTTAGCGTACCGTATTATTTTATTTTCGGCCCGGTCAGGTGGTCACCGCCCTGTCTGATACCAGGGCGCCTTAATTTGGCAATGGGTGCATCATCGCGGTCCTGATCGCTTCAAATGTATAAAAAAGCAGAAGCCGATCCGAGCATTCCAGCCAATCCACACACGCCAACTATCATCTCCCTGACATTTTTGGAGCTATAATGTTGCATTTTTAGCTTTTGAAGCCATGAACCTGCATGCGACGTTACACTGCCAGTCGCGAATACAAAGCATGTTTACAGTAAACGATGCTTTTGTAATACACCACTGAACATTGCTGTTTGCGTTTTCGTTCATATTTCAGGGAGTGGTGCACCTCTCCGCGCTGTTAATGTAAGCAATGAATCATTGCGGGTGTGTGAGCTACGCGTCAATTGTTAAACCTGTCGGCCGGTTTCAGGATCTTCCCGCGCAAGTCCACGCGCTCTGGAGGCGGTGGACACCGTGGATCCAGGTTCAAGTTTCCCAAGTTCATCACTTTCGACGCGGTGGTTACGTTCCTGTCGTACATGGTCGGGGTCGGTCTGGTGATAGCCTACGTGGTGCTGGTAGCATTGAACGCCGTTGCAAGTGTAAGTACAGCCAGCTTAGTACTTACTGAGCAGTTTGGTCACGCAGCCCTGGTGCCGTGAGAGAGCCGATAAGGATCCGATTGCTTAATGTGCCACTTAAATCAGGAAGTCACGAATCCGTCAAAACTACAATTTTCAAACGATAGAGATGGGTGTAATCGATTCGTGACGGTGCATTGAGCCGACAACGGGCAGCAAGTAGGATTAGAACGCGGGGTTTACAACCTGTCTGTCACGCTTTGTGGCCGGTGGTCGGCTTAGCTGGACTGGGCCTTTCGGGGCCACAATTGACGAACTATGGGACTAAGGAGAGAGATAAAAAGTTTTCTCCTAGTAAGGAACCCAAGCCAAGACTGGATTATGGGCGGCGGGTATACTCCAGCGGGTCCCCCAACCAAAGCACTCGGACGGCCCCTCAGCCAGGACATTCCGGCGGGACCCCCAGATAGGGCACTCCGATGGGCCCTCAACCAGGGCACTCCGGTGGGTCCTCCAACCAGGGCACTCCGGCGACACCCCAACCAGGATGCTCCGGGATCCCCAACCAAGACGTCCTTCAGAACCAGGGCACTCCGGCGGGCCTCTCAAACAGGACACTCCGGCGAATCCCCTAACTAGGGCACTCCGGTGGACCTCTCAACCAGGACACTCCGCGGGTCCCCACCAGGACGACCATCACGTCCGCCGATGGCTTACAACCACATCACACTCCCGCTACCATTGCCGAAGTTGGTAAAGTTAGAGCCCCTCCGCTCCGAGAACACCATTGTAGAGCAAATAAATTAACAATGTGGGAAATAGGCGCGTAAGTACTGCGGCGACTCCATGTTATCTCCGTTGTCAAGGTTTGTCCGGCACAGAAACCCTACGACGGGTGCGTCGAGGTCAGAGCGGGCCTCCCAATGACGGCGACTGCTAGCCGTCTGATGCCTCTCGACCGCAGCAGGTTACCGGAGTGATGAGCCATTGTAAGGGCGCGAGATGGAGCCACGTGACCAGGCCAATGGGGTGATCGAATTCGCCATCTCCCCCTGCCTACGTACGCTGCTTGCAATTTCTCAGCACTCCTGCATGCGTGCACAGGATGTGCGTGCCCCCAGAGGACGCGCTCGATACCCTGGTGTCGGTCTCCGGCAGGACGGAGCCAGCATAGCGACAATTATTGGCCGAAGCCTGGATCGTGGCGACTCGCAGCTGATCGACGAGGAGGCTCTGAAAGTGCTGGTGCTCCTGGAAAACGCCATCCAGCGGCACGAGCGCGGCTGCGTTCGGTACCGGTTGTGCCAGATCAGCCGAGGCACCGCGTGGGAGGCGCTGACGTCCGCAGCCAGGTGAGCCCCTCGTCCGCCTCAGCACGTGACGTCACGCAACTACTCCGAGCACCCACAGCACGAGCTGCCACGCAAAGATGCCACACAAGGGTCCGTTAACCGCGATCTGTCGCAGGCGAGGAACCTGTCAACGCCAGGTCTCCGAAGAATTCGGCGATCTGTTTGTGCACAACGAACCGTAACTTTCAGTCACAGTGGGATGCCAGGCCTTTGTCCCGACATTTGGCTGGTATCTGTCACTGAAGCGAATGGATGTCTGCTCACGAGACGCCTAAAGGGGACGAAAAAGCCGACAGAACTATTTACGTCATGTACGTTGGGGCAAGAGGACATCAGCCTCCCTCCCTCACCCGCCGTCTTCTTCAGTGAGTGGGGGAGGGAGTCGTGCCCATCGCCGCAGTCCATTCGTGACCGTCCGTTTTGCCGTGACGGGTGCGGTACCGCGTGCTCGGCCGTGACGCTCCGTCGCCGGCTCATCCACAGCTGGGCCTTCTCCGGGACGGCGGCCGCGGACGGGCCGGACGCGCGGCGCCTGACTGCGGCCCGGCCGGCGGACTCGCTCTGTGACGAGGCGTTCCCCCAGTGCGCCCCGCAGCAGCGGCCGGCCGCGCGGCTCGACACGCCGTAGCCGCCGCACCGCAGGCACCGGGCGAAGCGGCGGTGCAGCGATGGACCGCGATTGTTGCTGCAGTACGAGGCGCTCGATATGGAGGGGCAATCCGGCTGCGCCCTTCATAGTACTTCCCGTTCCTGGTCCGAACACGGGTCGATGTATAATCATGTGCGTTGAGGTTGGTTCATGACGATGTTTATATCGCGCCTCTTTAATTGAAGGGTTGCACAGCGTGCGGCACCACGCAGCCCACTGCGCTCATATACAGGCCCGCGTCACGTGACGTCGGCCTGGAATCAACCAGGATCTCCCATGCGCAAGTCAGAAGACCTGCTGACCAACTGACCTATTTGCCCCTGAACGGCAGTAGCACATCTGTTTGGAAAGCGATCACACGAGCCTGACTCTCTTCGTGGCTTTTTCGGAGGGTCCCCTCAACAATACTTACGGGTCTGTTTCAGCATATGTACTACAAAAACCACATGGAATCAACATGTGCAACGGACTTTACTGTTACATTGCGTGAATAACTGAGCGCTTGGAAAGCGATCCTTGACATTGAGATCTGAATAGCAACCGGCCACCCCAACTTTGGTTCGGTTCAGAAGTGCTTACGATATCCTAAGTCCGCACAGTGTTGTTACGGTCTTGGTGTCCTGAAACCATTTATTCCAGCCCCTGGAGAACCAAGATCCCACGCATTCACCCCAGCATTATCAGCTGCAACAGATCACACCCATATGAATACCACTAACAGAGGTGCTATACGTTCTCAGGAATCGCCCTACGCTTCAAGTGATTGTGTTAAGAGCCGAGCGATTTAGGCAGTAAAATGGCATGTAGGCATGTAGGCATGTAAAATGACAGCTGTTTTTTACGCTCTGCATTTTCCAGTTAAAGATCAAACGTAAGAATCAAAACGCATATCGTATGACATTTTAGTGTGTGTATTTATAACTGTGGCGTTGTGGCGTATTTATAACTATGGCGTTGTGCTACACGTATGATAGTAGTCCAGCATTGATATAGCGGTCAAGGGCATGACAAAAACTGCATCTTGATGTGTACTGTACGTGATCTTGCAATGGCCGTAATACAGCCGAGACACGACACTCGTATGTGTAGAGTAAAGATGGGGGGGCGGGGGGGGGGGGCAGACATTCCACTGTGAGTCCAGCGCCGACCAAGATTCGACCGTTAGGGCAAAGCAATTCCAGTGGATTTCTTACGAAATGAGCCTGTTGTAGCCTAGCGCACGCTTCCACTCACGTGTGCGTTAGATTGTACTACCTCCGTTTCGGCTAAAAGCCACATAAACTGATGAGCCATTTTCACCGCGCGAATAATGCATTCATGTTCTCCATACTTCTTTGGGCCATAACAGTCCTCAATTAGTTTGCAAGCTGTTCGACAACCAATTCATGATAGTGATTCCGTTTGCCGTTCACAAGTAGGTCTTGAAACCGCATTAAGGGTTCATAATGCAAACCCCCAAGCTAAGGTCAGCATATGCAGCATATGCTCCATATGCTTGGATGCAGATACGCTGCGGGCATGGCATCACAAGTCTGACCGGTCCATAGAGGGACAGATCCCTGAGATACAGGTCACGGTTTCTGAAGCTGTTGGTTATCAAACATGTCAGATTGAAATAAGTTCACGCACCACCATCCTATATTTCATCATCAGAGCTTTGATTCTCCTTACGTGTCAACAAGAAAGACGAGCGACAATGTGCACCTTTGCAGTACTCCTGCAAATAACATACACGAAAGTAATTTTTGGTCCCAATCTCGGGCACTCACCGACTCATACGCCAGCATCTAAGCTAATCATAGCCTAATCATGCGCACCTAATTATAGCATCTAATCGCGATCTACGAGACGACCAAGCCAACGCTGCACGACAGCGTCCGCAATGAAACACCTAGGTGACGCGCTCGGTGACCAGTCCTGGCGCCGGTCGTGAAGCGACGCCGTCTTAGCCTGCGGCGCCCACGCGAGCACAGGCCAGGTGAACCGCGGGGGGGGGGGCGGCTGCAGCCGGCGGCCCCTCCTGAGCGGAGCGGAACACAGACATCGGGCCGTGCTAGAGGGGCGAGCTTTACCCAGCTGCAGCCGGCGGCCCCTTCCGAGCCGAGCAGAACACAGACACCAGGCGGTGCCAGACAGGGGCGAGCTCCGCCCAGTTGCAGATGAGAGGCGCCCGGCGGCCGCCCGATCAGTCCGTGTTGAGCAGCAGACACACGCCCTGCAGGATCCAGTGCGAGAGGTGCTCCTTGGTGAAGAGGTCAGCCTCGAATGTCAGGCCCACGCCGGCCGCGTTGCGCCGCTGCGAGGTGACGTAGACGGGCGTGCGGTACGTGTCCTGCCGGCCGGCGGCCACACGCCAGCGTCACCCGCCGCACCGGGCACACCCTGGGCCTGGTAACGTGCGCTCGCCACCGGGTGTCAAGCCGGACCGGGCACACCCTGGGCCTGGTAACGTGCGCTCGCCACCGGGTGTCAAGCCGGACCGGACACACCCTGGGCCTAGTAACGTGCGCTCGCCACCGGGTGTCAAGCCGGACCGGGCACACCCTGGGCCTGGTAACGTGCGCTCGCTACTGGGTGTCAAGCCGGACCGGGCACACCCTGGGCCTAGTAACGTGCGCTCGCTACCGGCTGTCAAGCCGGACCGGGCACACCCTGGGCCTGGTAACGTGCGCTCGCTACTGGGTGTCAAGCCGGACCGGGCACACCCTGGGCCTGGTAACGTGCGCTCGCCACCGGGTGTCAAGCCGGACCGGGCACACCCTGGGCCTAGTAACGTGCGCTCGCTACCGGCTGTCAAGCCGGACCGGGCACACCCTGGGCCTAGTAACGTGCGCTCGCTACCGGGTGTCAAGCCGGACCGGGCACACCCTGGGCCTGGTAACGTGCGCTCGCTACCGGGTGTCAAGCCGGACCGGGCACACCCTGGGCCTGGTAACGTGCGCTCGCTACCGGCTGTCAAGCCGGACCGGGCACACCCTGGGCCTAGTAACGTGCACTCGCCACCGGGTGTCAAGCCGGACCGGGCACACCCTGGGCCTAGTAACGTGCGCTCGCCACCGGGTGTCAAGCCGGACCGGGCACACCCTGAGCCTAGTGACGTGCGCTCGCTACCGGCTGTCAAGCCGGACCGGGCACACCCTGGGCCTAGTAACGTGCGCTCGCTACCGGGTGTCAAGCCGGACCGGGCACACCCTGGGCCTAGTAACGTGCGCTCGCTACTGGGTGTCAAGCCGGACCGGGCACACCCTGGGCCTAGTGACGTGCGCTCGCTACCGGGTGTCAAGCCGGACCGGGCACACCCTGGGCCTGGTAACGTGCGCTCGCTACCAGGTGTCAAGCCGGACCGGCAGCGAGTGGACACGGGCTGGCGGCCAGCGAGAGGCTGAACACCACTCAGCTGACTGCGCAAACCCCACGGATCCTAGTCAGAAGTTTGGAATACATTGAAGATGACACTTACTTCTGTTTACTACCAAGCGTAAAACCGTTCCCTGGGGCACCCACGCTACATAAATAATATCCAACACGTATTACATGGTGACTCACTCCTTGCATCTATAATGACAGATATTCAAGAGCACAAACGACCTCTGTCCATAGCACTCGTCCCGTTCGTTCACGTCACTGACACAAGCAATCAACTACGGACCATGTTGACGCCATGCTCCGCTGGCAGCCGACAGCAGATCGGCGCAGTACTTCCTCCGCACGCGTTTCCAGGGCATCGTACGTCAGATTATTGAATCAAATGACACAAATCACTTTCCGGTGTGTTTTTGTCGACGAATGCGCTGTAGGAGACGTTTCATCCGCACAGAACACGAACCCCATTGCACTCGAATAAGCAAAGACCCACCTGAAGTTTGAGCTTTTGAACTTCGATGGGCACAACCTTCAAGATGGGCAGCTCTTGGATCAGCTGGCCTGGTTTGGCTCGCTCCAGATGGCCCTCTTCCACGTTCCAGCCGGCCCCCTCCAGGAACAGGCCCTCCACATAGCACCCCTGCAGTGGCAGTCAGTCAGCGACCAAGTGGTGATGCACATGGGCGAGCGAGCGGACGAAACTTGGCCTTGAAGAAGGCGCCTGATGTCAGACTAAAACGCTCACCGGACACTGCTCGTATAAACCTCTCCTTTGTACAAGGCGACGCAGTGGTATCAAAGAAGCTCCGAAGTCCTCCTTCGATAAATCCTACAGAAAATTACTTATTTACCACCCGTCTGAACTCAAAATTATTCCCACAACGCCAAAATCTGACCAGTCGCGATCTCAACCCACAACCGCCTGGCGGGGGGGGGGGGGGAGAGACAGAAGTAACCCTCCCCTTTGAGTATCAGGAACAACTTCCGAACGCTTTCAGGTGGCCACGCTAAATTTTGCATGCCCAGCAAGCAAAAGATTGCATGCACTCTAGACAAGAGCGATATTCGATGCTTGGTCAGGCCACTGAGCTACGACGTCACAAACGAAATGTTTCTCAGGGATGTTTGTCCCCACACGGAGTTATTGACAGTTCACTTCCTTGTTATGGCCATAGGCAGCCGCGTGACGGCGCGCGGCCGGCACCGCGGCCCGGTGGACGACTCACTCCTGTCAGCCGCTCGTGCACCTCCTCCAGGTTGGTGTGCTGCGTCACTTCCGTGAAGAGGGTGGCGCGGTCGAGCGGCCAGCCGAAGTTGCGGCAGGTGGCCTGCACCAGCGCCGTCAGGTAGGACTCGGGGATGGCCAGGCCCGACAGCCAGATCACCTGCGGCTCGCCACAGTTGATCTGCCGGGACGGCGGGAGCAGAGGGCGTCAGGCAGAGCGCAGTCACCGACCACAGGCTGGAGACAGTCGGGCCGAGGTCACCGGCCACAGGCTGGAGACAGTCGGGCCGGGCGGAGGGCCGCAGCCGCCGGCCATACGCTGGGGGCGGAGGGCCGCAGCCGCCGGCTATACACTGGGGACGGTCGGGCCGGGCAACGGGCCGCAGCCGCCGACTATACGTTGGGGACAGTCGGGCCGGACGGAGGGCCGCAGCCGCCGGCTATACGTTGGGGACAGTCGGGCCGGGCGGAGGGCCGCAGCCGCCGGCTATACACTGGGGATAGTCAGTCGGTAGTCGGAGGGCCGCAGCCGCCCGGCCTACACTACACTGCACTGGTGAGGTGTGTTGTTAGGGCAGGTTGATGTTTATAAATGTCGAATGCTGAGGACGCTTGTCATCAGCCGGTCTTCCTTTGCGTGAAGCAGCATTAACATGATTACCGCTCCCCAAAATGGTACTCGTCGCCTCCTAGCGCTAATGCCCTCCACTGACGACACCTGAACCACACTGGGAGCCATTGTAAAACGCTGATGGCAGTCATCTGCCTTTATCATCTATCATTTATAATTTTCTCCCATACCTACACGCATCATTGGTCACCACTTAAACCCGGCAGCTAATCTGCGCAGCCCGTCGGGGGGGCTTGCCTGCCCGGCATACAGCCCGGCCCGGCCAGCCCGGCCGACGGGAGAGCGGCGCGACGGTCCGAAACGCACCCAGTCGCTGTACTGCTGAACGCGGCGCTGAAAGTGCTCCATCCAGCCGCCCAGGTCCTTGCACGTGATGGGGGCTCGCTTTCGCCACGAGTCGGGCAGCTGGCCGTTGTAGAGGCAGCGGAACACGTTGTCCAGCTCGGCGTCCATGCCGATCTCCCCGGCCAGTGCCTGCCATCACAGACACACGTCTCCAGCCGCCTTCGGACACCGTCGCTGTTGCGAACGTCAGCCACCGTATGGACACCGCAAATTCCATGTGACAAAAAGCCGACATAAACGGAGACGAGTCCAGCAACCCAATATTTGGAGAGAGGGCTGACCCTACCAAAACAGAATGCAAAACAAGAACACAGGGACTACTAAATATCAGCCTGGCGACGTACGGGCGGCGGACCTTAATCACGCGGATCAGACTGCTCCACTCACCTTTCCCAGCGAGGAGAGCGTCTGCAGCATCTTCTTGATGAGGTAATTGAAGCGCTCGAGCTCCTGCAGCAGCACCACCGTGGTGGGCGTCATGCTGGCGGCGTACTGTCGTCGCAGGCGGCG